TGTCCCATCCTCACGTCCACTTCTGAGAACGCTTCTGCTTCGCGGTCACGAGACAGTTTGAAACATGCAGAGAAATGTGGAAATAGAGAGAATACAGATGAATATCAGATGTGAGGTTTTCTCTAACTTCTGCTTCTGCTGATGAGGGGCATTCTGGGATGCCTCTTTGATCACAACTGAACTGTAGCCTAAGACACGCAGACGTTTTTGGGTTGTTTGACTTTTTATGTTTTGCAATAGAAAAATAAAAAAAACTACATTCAACTATATATTTAAAGAAGGTAAAAACCTATAAAACACATATCAAAAGAGGAAATAGTTAAGACTATTTCACCGGCCACCTTATTTGCATTAGACGAATTGGAGAAACTCTTTATTTCCTCATCTGCGACAACATGTTGAGAGAAATGAGATAAAACTATTTTTACTACATATCTACAAAAGGTGTATATTTATATTATTATTATAAACAAATGGTACAACATACAATAGCAATCACAGATAAATAGAAATACAATTATAAACCTCAGTGATACGCAGTGGTAGGATGATGTAACTACTTGGTGACACTTAATAAACTCCAGTGCAATATGATAAACACATGAACTGCCTTCCTATGAATCTGTATGAATCACCCAGTATCAAACATTCATATATTAACTCATTTAATTATTTATTCTGATAGTCATGACATGACACATTTCGTCTACAGTGACTTTAATGCTTGAACTCCAACAAACACCTCACAGCTGAATGTTCTGACAAAAAAATCGGTTCTTGTGACGCTGAAAGAAATCCAACAAATTAAAAGGGTGAAATGAAAAAACTTTTGATACATTGTGCTTTGAGAAAACTCTGCAGCCAGAGTGTAAGAAGAAGCACAAGGCTTCTCAGGCTGACATTTCTTGTTCTCCTTCACACACACAAAAAGAGGTGTTGCTGCTGCTTGTGTGGTGTGATCACATTCTCACCAGGGCTCTACAGAGGTGTCAGACTCTGTATGTATGATAACATGTTTTAATTCTAAGAAGTAGTAATTGAATCAACTTCCATAAACTGCAAAAACAAACCATTTGGAACTGATGCGCTTGACCTGTGCATGAGTGCAGTGCACGAGATAAAGCCCTGGGCACACGGTTGTAGATCTTAGAGCACCCTGCCAGGAATAAAAAAAAATTAAAATTAAAATTAAAAAAAAGGTACAGGGAGGTCGGCGCCTCCCGGCTTCTGTCCGCTGAGTCGGGACGACCTCCGTCCGCCTGATCTTCCTCCGGGCCACCCGTCAGAGTTTCTCGGGCTGCCCGACTCCCTGCAGCCAGCGCCCCGAGCCCTCCGGAGTTCCCCGGCTGCCAGACCCTCGCCCCTGGTCCTCTTGCCCTAATCATGTTGTCCCGTTTTTCTGCCTTCCCTTTCTTCCTCCCTTGTGTGTTGTATGTCCGTCTGGGATCCCGAATGTCGCGACAAACGACACGTGGCACACGGGGCTTAAATACACTGAGAGGTGCAGGTGATTGGACACAGGTGGCAACAATCAAAGTGACTTTAATGCTCAAAATCCAACAAACACCTCACAGCTGAATGTTTTCACAAAAGACTCGGTTCTTGTGCTAATTTAAGGAAGAAAAAGGCAAAATAAAAGAAATCTAACGAAACAAAAGGGTGAAATGTAATAAACCGTTTTGATAAATTGTGCTTTGAGAAAACTCTGCAGCCAGAGTGTGAGAAGAAGAAGCACAAGGCTTCTCAGGCTGACATTTCTTGTTCCCCTTCACACACAAAAAAAGAGGTGTTGCTGTTGCTTGTGTGGTGTCACATGACCACATTCCACAATAAAATAAAATCTAATCTAATCTAAACCGATACTTTTAAAACAATATCGAAGCCCAAAAGGATCCTGAAACGACGATTGACGAAAAAAGGTGTTTTTTTCTTCAAATTGATCAATATAATAACTGTTTGAACAATACTGTAAATATAAATATTATTATATAAATAACACTTGCCTTTACAGCTTAGAACTTTTTAACTTCAAACTATGAGCAATATATTAACTGAACTAAAGATACGTAAGCATTTATGTTATATTGAAGCTCCTTGTTTGTCTCGATGTGTTGACGTCATTATTGCAGCAGGTGCAACACAGAGCTGCATTAAGCACGAGAGCGTATCGTTTTTCTACCGTGTGACTGAATTTATTAATTATATATTTATGAATATATAAATATATATATTTATAAATATATAAAATATTATAAACGTTAACTATAGTTAACGCTTTGCTGCGTAACATGAAGACGAAAAAAATCAAACGACCTCCTGTCATTCATGAGGAAATGAAGTCACGTGTCTGCAGCTCAATGCAGCTCAATGCCAATCCACACGGAAGGAACAACGCTACAACATCGGTTTAATACTTCGGTCTCCATAGAACCTCAGCAGCAGGTTGGTGGCGGATGCTGTTAGATAAAAAAAAGCCACTTGAGTCAAATTGAGTGTTTGTTGGTTGTATGTAAGTTGTTGTCTTGACTTTCATCCACGTGTGTAAAGCAGTGTAGTAAAAATCTGGACTAGAGACCAACGGGCCCCTGACGCCTCGAGCTCCCGTCTTTACACTTTTATGGACCCTTAATTCCTACAACTCAATGTCCCCAAAAGGTCTTACGGGCAAAAACAGGAATTCCATGAAGCTCAGTCGCTATATTTCTGTTCACTGTGTCAGAATGAAACAACTCTTACAGGTAAACACCTCGCTGCTGCTGCGTGGACACACACTGTCCTCTAGTGGAGACATGCGGGACTATTTGTTACTTTCCTTCCTTCAAACTCCCACCAGAGAGAGACAACACCTGTAGAGGGCCCCCTTGTCCTAGTTATTGTTTTGTATCATTAGAGCGCCTGTGATTTGACAAAGTGGGGAAGAGAAGACACATTTGTATCCACGCAAAACAGAGCAGATGGTGTTTCATAACCAATCACCATGTCACATTCTATTGTCAAATCCGTAGCTTGTTATTCCAGCATGTAAACACACGGGAGTGAAATATATGCCGGGGGACACTTAAATAAAGTCTTACTCATTTCAACCCCAATATATTTTTTCTATGTAGCGACTGGAGGTGCAGAGATTAAGACATATGATGTGATTTCATCTTTTGATAGTAGCAAAGCTGAGATGTTTACGACAGCCACGCCGTGATCAAGTTGTTGGTGTGCGCGGCCGTCTGTTGATGTTTTTCCAGTAGTCATGACAACGGGCCGTGGACCTTGAGGTCGCTCAGCTGCTGCCAATTACACACCTGCCTCCAGTTCCCGATCAGGGGGGTATTTAAGAGCCGTCCGGAGATCCACTCCCTGCCGGATCGTTACGTGCCAGGACTCTGCCTGAGACTATCGTCGTTCACCCTGCTGGATTCCTCCCCACCAAACCCAAACCCCAGCGCCAGAAACCAGAATGTTTCGGACTATTGGTGTTTTTTCGTTATTTTTGGATCTACGTAAATAAACTGTTCTTTGTTCTCCCCCACCAATGCAGTCTGCGTATGTGTCCTGTTCGAGCTTGACATGACAGAAATCTCTCTTAAGAAGGGAGGCGTTTTCTCTTTTTTTGGTTGTTCATTCTGCCATTCTGTCAGTAATTCCTTACCTCAAATGCAATTAAAAGAGGTAAAACTACAACGGCGCTAGTCAAGAGTTACGGTTAGTTTTAGAAGTGAGGACAGCGTGTCCATAGATATTATATATATATATATATATATATATATATATATATATATAATGCGATAGCTAGCTAGATGTGTTACAGCGGAGTCTAGAACATCCGTACTATTCAAATAACCATAACTTGCTCAATATTAAACCAATTTTTAAACAGTTTGGTTTGTTATGAACGTCAGATATGTAGTTATGACACTGCATACGCATGAATAATTTTCTAAAACAGGTACAAGATTTCCCTTTACAAATATTCATCAAGAAATGCTGCATGTTGAAATCCTCACCCTGTACATAGATGTATTTATGACACTGCATACTTATGAATAATTATAACCATGGTGTTACGGCCTGCCTATCGTGCCAAGTGATGCACAGGCGTAACACACAAATGTAGCCTTGGCAAAGGCGGAACAACGGAGATAAACAAGGCGTGCGTAAGGTTTGAACCTCAGTAAATACAATTACAGAAGGTCCGCTTGTTCTCAGGAAGAGAAGAGAACCCCAGAGCACCTGGTCAGGGAGCCTTTATCTAGCCCACTAATCGCCTGATGTCTCTCAGCTCCAGGTGAATCACCTGAGAGATTATTACCCCCGCCCTCTTCTCAGGAGGGGGCGGAGTCAAGTCGGGGGACATAACACAGGTATTTATGTTAAATTAATCTATAGGCTACTAAAACTCAGCGTACAGAATGGCAACATGAGGTATGTATACTTTAATAGGAATATTGCTAATATAATACAATAATTTGAATTATTACATATTTGTTTGTTTTTTCATTAACTAAATGTGTAAAGCTTTTATTAATCAGAAATAAAAGACAACTTCATATTGAATAATATCACCAACGTACTGAAGCTCAAAGACGTCATACTGCTTTTTTCTGCTTTTCAAACATGACTTCATTCAAAAAAGCTTTAAAAACAAAGTGACTGAAGAGAAAAAATTATACATTTACACGATATGTACATTAAACACTCAACACCAACATTTTAGTAAGTATAATAATCTGCTTTTTTCAGTAAAACTTTTAAAGACATATGATGCATTTCCTTTAAATGATCTGCTGATGGGTTAACTAGAAAATACTCTCATATAAAGGAAAGAAGTTCACACAATAATTACTCAAAAAGACAAAGATGTGGTTTTTCATGTCATCATCCGTTCCCCTGGTTCTGTCCATGCAGATGTTTTTATCCATCTGAAAAAAGAAGGAAAAGAGATTAAAGGTTATTTAAGAGTAACAGGTGTACGTTTTGTGTTTGACCTTTGCTGACTGCTGGTAGTAATACAGAAGTACACGCAGATTGTACTACATGGTTTGTTGTACTTGACTGTACCTGCAGCTGTTTCCATCGTCACATTTGCGTAAATGTTCTCGTCTGGTTCATCATCCGTTCCTGTTAGAAGCACCAGATAAATGCATGAAGAGACACTGTATTCTCCTTTATTAAAGCCCTGCAGGCCTACAAAACATCTGTGTGATGAACACACGGGATATACTGCACCATGTTTAGGTTCTTCAGAGCCTTCGATCATTTCATAGAGACAAGAATCACCTGCAGATCAGTGAGGATAAAGACGAGGTCATATCAATCATTTGGACCACTTTGTATGAATTGTATAATCTTCTCAAACAGATAACCAGAAATGGAAAAGTTTGCAAAAAGTTAAGAATACAATTTGAAATAAATCAGAATTTAATGCTGACCAGGTTGAAGAGGAGCGTAATGTCCGTCTTGAGTATCACCCTGGTTGATCATGTGGTCTGTAGCTGGGCTCTGATTGGTCCTCTGAGACCTTGCGGGTCCAAAACATGGTAAACACAGAGGATTTAATGAGGAACATCTAAAGTCCTGCTGCCATGTTCAGAGTGAGAAAAGAGAGGCTTTGACCAACCTGCTGACGCGTGAACCTGGAAGAAAATGGTTTTATTAATTAATGAGTGTATGTAATAAAATCTGTGACTTTTACATTACAGGTCATTTAGCTGCCGCTTTTATCCAAAGCGACATTTTTAACCAATGGCTTTTTACATTTTTGCCTGGGGAGCAATTAGGGGTTCGGTGTCTTGCTTAGGGACACAGCGGCAGCAAGGGCTCGAACCACCAACCTTGCAGTTCCCAGTGCACTCTCTTTACCCCTGCGCAACAACGACACCTCTGACTCATTTCACTGAAATCAGTCTAGAAAAAGATCTCACCTTTTGACTTTCTGTAGCGACGCAGAAACAGCAGCACGAGAGTAAGTAAAACTCCAGAAATCAGACCAACAACCAACAGCACGGGAAACACAGAGCTTGAAGCTGTTTCTTCAGGATCTACACACAAGCACACACCAACCATGAATAGATACACGAGTAATAATAATACATTTCATTTATAACACACTCTTCATCAGCAGATCTCAGAGTGCCACAGAGCCAGATAAACATACTTCAAACGAAATAAAAGCTAGTAAAAACATCGGTACTAATGTCTTAGTACAGTATGTGTAACAAGAAGTACAACACATACTCTCAAATACACAAACATGAACCCTTGATCACATCATTCACTTTTCACTGCTGGTCATTTTACATTTTTAATATGTGTTTTTACTGAACATAAACCTTTTTAAAGCTATATTGTCTCTCACAAACAAGACGTTTATTTTAAGATAGCTTCTAATTCAGTGAAACATTTTCTAACTCAGACTGTAACACGTGTTACAAAACTCGTACTCACATTTCACTGACAACCAGCTCGCTGCTGAGGTCACATTCTCCAAACCTTGAGGTGATTTACTTCCACTACATTTATAAAAACCTTCATCTGACTCTTTGACTGCAGAGATAAGCAGCTCCCCTCTGCTAGGATTTGGGATGAGTTTGTCATTTTTATAGAAATCCACATTATAAAGAAGGTTTTCTGTCCTCAACTTGCAGCCAAGAGTGACCGAATGTCCTTCAGTCACAGGACGGACAGGACTCACCAGGATGACATCACCACCTGTAAAGAGACCAGAGGACAGGACGTCAAACAAGCTGATGTACAATGACGAGAAGACATTTATAGCTTACATTTGTTATTCACATTTACACAGCAGCTGAGCGAATAGCTGCATTTCCTGGATGAAAGAGACGGCCCTTTGGTGACGTTCATGCTCACAGTTACATCTTTAATTAATGCTCAATATGTCGGGAGAAAAATGTCCACTTAGTGGCAGTGAGCTACAGAATGATCTGAAAGGTAAAAACTGGAGCCAGATAACTCTACAGCTCCTCCTGGATTATAGTAAATGGTGGATGTCAATGGTCATAAAGAGGAAAGTAAACCAGAAGACTTGTTGGACAATACAGAGAAATGATACTGCAACAAACTAAGATTGTTGAATCGTTAAGATACATATTGAGTTAAACTCATCATGAAGTCACCTTAAAACTGTCAGCACTCTATAATAAGACGTGTAAATACCGGATATAAAAACCTTTACATGGATAGAAACTCACTGTGTATGGTGATGTTGACTGCATTGCTGAACTGTGTTTCAGACTCACACCAGTACACTCCACTCATCGCTGCAGTGTCGGTGTTGCATGTGGATCCAGTCATTTTCCACCTGTCAGAACAGGAGAGCGTGATGCCGTCTTCATCCATCCACATCACTCTCCACTCAGTAGAGGTTCCCTCACAGCTCAGCGTCAGTGACTCTGTGCTGAAGTGCTGCAGTCTGTGAGGACTCACTGTGAGAGACGCTGCTGGATTCACACCTGAAGACACATCATTAGGAGACACACACACAGGACAAACAATGTCAACACAAAAAGTACATTTATTCACTTTTGCAAGAATAGAAGTCTGAACAAACTCACCTCCAGACCAGACAAACATCAGACGACTATACGAAGTGTAAAACACAGGATCTCCTCTTCCAGCTCTGCACGCATATCCTGCTGTGTGTGTCTGTCCATGAAGAATGTAGGAATCCTGTTCAGTCCCAGTGGTGATACCAGGTAGAAGCTCATAGGTGTAGGAGTCGAGTGACAGTTTGTGAGCGGCCTGATACCAGAAGAACCTCCATCCTGCAGACGGAGGTTCAACACTGCAGGTCAGAGTCACTGAGCCTCCAGGACTCGTCCAGGATGGAGACACTGTGAGGACGGGCCGAGGGACATCTGTTGGAAAGAGGTTTCACAGAATAAAGACGTGTTATGATGAGTCCTTGGTGGATTATTTTCATTGCTGATGTCCTCCATCTTCTTATCTGTCTTCAACTCTGTTAAACAGATGATTGGGTACATTGTCTTCAAACATAATCTTACATTTCAAATATTCTATTTTACATTAGCACTTCATTAAACAGGTTTATTAAACCAAATGTCTCATTATTATAAAAGTGCTTTTAATGAACTTGTCGTGATGGTAAAACTTACCTGATACAGTTAGAGAGACTTTATTACTTTCTCTTGTAACGTAGGGAGGGAACTTGTGATGAGCAACACACTGATATTCACCACTATCTCCTTTAGATAGAGATGGTGATGTATATCTGTTGTGTCTCTCTGTGGTAAATGTATAACCATTCCTCCTGAATAAGTAAGACCAGTCAGTGTCGTTTCCGTCCCCTGGGTCACATATGAAGGCAACAGTCTCTCCAGTAAATAACGGGGACCAGTTTGGCTCAATATGCAGCAAAGCATCTAGAAACAAACATGCAAAGAATTAATTTTGTCTTCCTTCTTTTATTCATCATAAATTAACCTGAAGGAGTTAGGAGGATTTTTTCCACATTTTCAATTGCTCATGTCATGTTAATCAAAATACAGTAGATGGTTCTCTGTTGAATAGTCTTATCCCTCAAAACATCAAGGCATTAGTTCCTTGCATAAGCCATTAGATGCAAAATTTATGTTTGTCACAAAAATGATGTTAGGGATAATGTGAAAAAAACACCAAAGCGACTGAGAAAAACTGTAAACAAAGCTCATCTAATTAAATAGCATCAGTCAACTTTCTCTTACACTAGTTACATGTATTAATGATCACTACATTATATTACATTAGCAGTTCATCAAACAGGTTTATTAAATCAACATGTCTCATTATTATAAAAGTGCTTTAATGAAAACTTTGATCTCTTACCTGATACAGTTAAAGAGACTTTATTACTTTCTCTTGTAACGAAGGGAGTGATCTTGTGATGAGCGACACACTGATATTCACCACTATTTCCTTTAGATAGAGGTGATAATTTATATCTATTTACTTGTGTCTGGGTGGTAATTGGAGCACCATTCCTCCTGAATAAGTAAGACCAGTAAGTGTCCTTTGCGTCCCCTGGGTCACATATGAAGGTAACGGTCTCTTTAGTAAATAAAGTGGATCGGTTTGGCTCAATATGCAGCAAAGCATCTAGAAACAAACACAACATGCAAAGAATTAATCTTGTCTTGTCTTCTTTCATCATGACTTAACTAAAGAGGACAGAAATATTAAATGTAAAATAGAGATAGCAGGTGTGGAATCTTCTTGATGGAATATATCAAAAGAAAGTATGTATGTTGTATAAAAACCTTGAGCGTGTCCACAGTAGAGAATATTCAGCACTAAAATAAAGTGAGAAACATCATCATGCATCATCAAACTGACAGAAACCATTAACTTCTGGCATTTAAAAAGTATCTTTGACAACTATAAACAAACTAAAACAGAGAAAGTACTCACACCAAAGCCCCAACACACCAAACAAAGTCTGTCCCATCCTCACGTCCACTTCTGAGAAACGCTTCTGCTTTGTGTCAAGAGACAGTTTGAAACGTGGGAAACATACGGAGAAATGTGGAAATAGAGAGAATACAGATGAATATCAGATGTGAGGTTTTCTCTAACTTCTGCTTTTGCTGATGAGGGACATTCTGGGATGCCTCTTTCATCACAACTGAACTGTAGCTTAAGACATGTAGACGTTTTTGGGTTGCTTGACTTTTTATGTTTTGCAATAGAAAAATAAAAAACTACTATATATTTAAAGAAGGTAGCAAAACCTTTAAAAAACATATCAAAGGAGGAAATAGTTAAGACTATTTCACAGGCCACCTTATTTGCATAAGACGAATTGGGAAAAAATGAGATGAGAATTTCCACCAACTCTTTAGTTCCTCATCTGCAACAGCATGTTGAAAGAAATGAGATAAAACTATTTTTACTACATATCTACAAAGGTGTATATTTATATTATTATTATAAACAAATAGTACAACATACAATAGCAATCACACAGATGAATAGAAATATTTGGCGTTGGAGCGCTCCATTGGCTGAACACCATCGTGGTCATCAACAGAACAAAGAACGTTTTATTTGTCAGAATAGTTAGACATTAGAGTCGGAGCATCAGGCAATGCGGTCGCGTTGGAGAAAGTGTGTCAAGCGGGAAAGCGGGGCGCGGCAGCCGGAGTGGTTTGCAAGGCCAACGCGCTCCGTGGCTGCAGCGAGAGACGGAGCGGCCCGAGAAAAGAGGCGATCGAGCAGTCCGGAGGAACAGATAGTAGTTCAGGTTGAAAGACTGGGCAGATGTTTGTTGTTTTATGTGAGATTTTAGCTTAGCGGTGTTGCCACTGCCACAAAAGGTTGACGCACCTGCTTGTTCACATCGATTGGTTCTCCGCCCTCATTCGGCTTAAAGCCCAAATGTTCCCAAACTGAAACCGAACATTGTGCCTTCGAAATAGGTATGACAGTCATTTGTATGTAAAATGAATATCGCAGCGGCAAAAATGATTGCACTCGATTTCAGATAATGTGCGATAAGTCAATTTATCGCATATTGTGACAGGCCTACCTGCACGTCTTCTTCCAGCTGGACGTTGTCCTCATCGAGTGATGACCTGCTCTATCCAAATCATGCCGCCATCATCATGTATTTTCCCAAGGCCGCCGCAGTAGGGTAGACCTCGTCTTTCCAGCTCCACGCAGACTTTGAGGGCCTGACTCTCCAGATGGTCCAACATAGTGCTTGAAGTTCCACCACAACGTACTGGTCCCCCTTAAGTTGTTTGAAATGAAAACTATTTCACCCTAACTTAGCTTGTGTAATTTTTTTGCTGAACCTACATCAATATATCTATATTAACAATATAGGTCAGGTTAAGGTTTTAGGTTATGTATTGGTTGAATACCATTGTAATGAAAATATCAATCAACCTACCGTGGTCAAATCTCAAACACAGGTCTATATGACAGATCTATGTTGTGGTACATAAACAGTCATTGAGGCACAACAATAGCTTTCTGGTTGAATGTTCAGCTTAAGTCTAGAAGGTCCTACAAGTCAGATCAGATGAATATTAAGCTGAATAAGTTCAGGTATTGCACATCTTTAGCATACCACCCAAAAATCAATTCCAATTCCCTAATATTTGAGCCACCAACGTGTGCGACTGCGTGCGCGGCAAAATCTCACTCCAAGTTCTTGACTTGCTTAACAGCACTTTGGCACGTGCCATGTGCGCAAATGGCACTGTGGCGTATGTGAGAAAGATACCATAAAAGATGGCGACTCTGCTTCGCTTGTACAGCAAACCGCTAACACATGCTAGCAAACATTCATAAGTCTTAAATAACGTTACACATTGATTTAACACACTTATGTTCTAGTAGGTCGGTTTGGACTTAACAAATTGGTTAGTTTAATCGTAAAGGAACGGTAAAATGTAAAACAATGGAGGTCACAGAGGGCTTCCATTATCCTAGCTAACGTTAGTTCTTGACAGTCAGTCTCTTCAAACGTAAAGTAATCCCAAAAAAATGTTTAGAAAGGTTGAAATGTTATTTCTAGAACAAAGTGTCAATGTCATCAATTGTATTACGTGCACTTTATCAGCTACTGACCTGAGAAAAACGGAAACGAATGAGACAGGAAAACGTGTGGCTTCTTTCGTCAGTGTCTTCTCGAGCGATAAGAGACGCTGCACGCACAGATAAAGGTTTAGGACCGCGAGGCGAAACCACAGCGCTGCGCCGCCGCCTGCTGGCCACAGGTGGTAACACACATAGCGGAAATGAAAACAAACCAACATGTGACCATTCATTCTGTGTGTGTCACGTGTAGTTCAAGGAGAACGAACGAGAGGGAAATACAATAGGCGCATTACGTGGATCGTTTCGTGGTGAAATTAAAAAAAGCTTCTTTGTCCTTTTATGACTTATGCTGACACCTACTGTTTAGAAGAGGGAACATTTGTAATGTACCATGTGTTTCAGGAATAATCTGAACCTCAAGGAGCAGAAAACAGACAATACATGGATCATACTTAATATCTTGATGACTATAGTGCCGGGGGATGGGGAGTTGATACAAATTGGAAAATAAACTGTGTACTCAGGGTCACGTTGTATCATTTAACCTTTGGGACTTAACAAAAGCAGAGAGTGACTTCCGTTACTTGACATGGTTAGCAGCACATGACATCAACAAATCCATTTAAACGTCTGCAAAAATCATCACCATGTTTTTGCTCATTAGGACAGCTATTTATTTTCTAAAATGCACATTTCACATGTTGGAATTACATCATTTTTATGATCAAATGCACAATAGTTAAATGCAAGGTCTTTGTTCTGTATATTGGACTTCTATAGGTATATACTGTGACAATGTTATATATTTCTATATAATATTTTTTATAATATTTCAGTCAATATCACATTTAATTTGAATGTTTAATGAGTCATACATATTTTGAAGCAAACGCTGATTTAGAATATTCCTCTCATCCACTTTTCTTCTCTGTGGGTTTGGCACCCGAAAGTACGCTGCTACACAGCAAAGCTGCATTTCTGGGAAGAAATAAAATCTCTTTTCTCTTTTGTATGTTGTTTTAAATACTTCTCCCTCCACTCGTCTATCTAGATTTCTTTTCCTCTATCCTGTCCTTCAGTCAGTCTCCTCTCTCTCTCTCTCTCTTTCCTCATCACACCAAAGTCTTTTTTGTAACCTCCTTCTTCTTCTCCTTTTTTTCCCCCCGGTTTTAAGTTCCTCCCTGTCAGACAGTCTCAGACATCCCTCTTTCTGGTGTCGGACGACCTCACAGGGAAGAGCATGTCACTCTCCAAGGAGAGGTCGCTGCCCATGCCGGCCATGCGGCTCCGCAGCAGGAAGTGTGTCCTCCTCTGCAGCACCCTCTGCTGGTCCTGCTTTAACTCCACGTAGGACCGGGAGAAGGTGTGGAAGATGGAGGTGACAGGGAAGGCCATGAGGAGGATCCCGCTCAAGATGCTGCTCAGAGCCACCACCTGACCCGGGATGCTCCTGGGCACCATGTCCCCGTAGCCCACCGTCGTCATGGTGATGACGGCCCACCAGTACGTAGCGGGGATGCTGGTGAACTCCTGCGTGGCGGCCATTTCATTTTCAATCAGGTAGAGCAAAGGGGAATACAGCGCTATGGCGACGCACAGGAAGAGGAGGAGCAGTCCGAACTCCCGCGTGCAGCGGCGTGCCGTCAGGCCCAGAGTCTGCAGGCCCAGCGAATGGCGAGCCAGCCGCATCACGTAGAGGATGCGCAGGGCTCTCAGGACGCGCAGCACCAACCCCACCTTGTCCAAGTAGCTGTTGCCGGAGCCCAGGCGCTTCTCTCCTTTGGAGGTGCTGTCCACGGCCAGGGTGATGTAGTACGGCAGGATGGCCACCACGTCTATCAGGTTCAGCGGGTGCCTGAGGAAGGCCAGCTTGCTACGGTCTTGAATGAAGCGCAGGGTGAACTCCAGGGAGAACCAGGCCACACACACGGTCTCCACTATGAAGATGTTGTAGCACATCTGGGAGCATTTTCCCTGGGGGGGAAAAAAATAACTTGAGTCATTATGGTCATCGTCAGCATGTGCGAGTGGCAGCTGTAGTCACTAGAGGGAACCACTCGCGTGTGAAATGAAGAGGTTTAGCACGTTGGGGGGCTGCAGCGTTGAAGAAAAATTATTATTATAAAAATTAAGAAAAATAGAGAAAGTAAAAATATTTTTTCTTCTTAAATGAAGCTAAATGTGTCTTCAGCTGTTATTTGTAAAGACATTTTAGCAATGCCAGTTACGATTTATGTTTGAATAGTGGCAGAAAAACATATCAACTGTTACCTTAAACATGGGCCTTCTTAATAATTCATGCTTTAAGCTTTTTTGGAAAGCTTTGTGACATGACAACGCTGAATTAATGCGTGGCTGAGAAGGCTCAAAGCATTTCAAAGCACACATCACATGGAACGGAGCTTTTGTACGCTGTCCATATCAGGGCATGGTATCATTATAAAACACACTCCCACAGAGGAGGAGATGCTTTGAGTAGAACCATACAAGCACCTGAAAACTCCAGTATGACTCCAGTTCTGACTCAGAGAGAGGAACACTTACACACTGTCAATGCAACACTTTGTTATCTGGCTGCTGGAGATTAGAGGCGGCGAAGTTGTTAGAATGCAATTACTGGCACTTTTAATTAAAAAGCGTTGTGGAAACATACACTGTGCACAGCAATGGAAAATACAAAGTCAGTGTGTCAGTTCAGATATAACACTGTAACTTCATCAGTCCAGGTGTTGTATTTCTTTCATTTTGTTTACTTTATTTGTTAAATTGTCCCCGAACATTGACTGATGATTGGCTTAATCGTGCAAGCGATGATGTCAAGCTCAACCCACGTACAAACTTGCTTAATGCGCTGGAGCTCCCAGAAGCCACATGATAAATAAAGCACAAAGAGCAATAGTCCAACATTAAAGTAGCTGCATCTGAAAGTTGAGTCAGCCCCATGACGAGCGTTTAGCATTTACTCAAAAAAAACCAAGAAAAAAAAAACATTGAGATTTAGTTTTTTTGCTCTCCACCCACTGAAAGTTCCCCACATACAGCATCAGTAGGCTACTTGATATGCTGAGTGTATGCAAGAAGTAAATGTAGAACATTTGAAAACCACTAAAACATTTTTTTTTAATGGAAGGCAAAGTGGCGGTTGCTGTCCACTTCCATCCAAAGTAGATATTTCCATTAAGGAATTAAAAACATCTTTGCACTTTAATTCTGCACGGAAGTGCAAATATTTCATTTTAATTTGACTACATATGCCAGTGTGATCATTATGGTTATGATTTAAGTCAGATCCAGACGCCTTCAAACATAGATTTTCTTTCTTAAATGGCAAAATTTGCTTTCTAAATATCCGGCTGTTTTGAATAACGTGTCAGATGAGACATGGCATCATTAAAACTTTCACTGCTTGAGAATAACATGTCAATTTTCCTCACTTACGTATGCGTTTAAACACATCTCACGCTCTATACTTTGGTGTGTCTTCATGTGTTAATTAATTCCCAACAGATAATGAACTGTTGTTGGGCCATGCATTCACCTTTTCATTGTCCTCACTGACATTACAACACGTGATGATTCGTGTTTGGTCATTTTCTTCGTGTTGTGTCGTCGTTAGCCTTTACTCACCGCCTCCTCCTCTTCCCTCATGGCAGGCATGGTGCTGATGGATAGGTTGACTGCGGTGATGGTGACGAACATCACTGACAAACAAGCAAAGATCTTCCCCGGCAGGCCCGAGTGAGGCCTCTCCACCATGTCTCTCAGCTTCCCCATGCACCGATTGAGCCTGGACTCTGCCGCCGGCTCCCTGCGCCCACTGTCCGAGTCCAGCAGATCCTCCAGGAGCTCCTCTTCCTCCTCCGCTCTCTCCATGGCCTCGAACTCCTCCATGCGCTGCAGCAGACGCCGCCGACAGCACCACTCCAGGCTCTCCTCGGGGACCCCCCAGTAGAGGAGCTCCTCTCTGAAGGAGAGGGCGCACATCTCCCTGAGGGACCGCAGCTTGCCCGCCCGCAAGAAGGTGAGGATGGTGCGGAAGGCACAGGGGCTGCGGTCGAAGAAGAACTCGTTGTGCGTCACGTCGTAGTCGTCGCACACACCCATGATCTCGTCGAAGCTGCTGCAGAGGTGCAGCTGGCCCAGACGAGACAGGGGGAAGTCCTCTAAGGTGGTCCAGGGCAGCTGGTAGCGCAGGCCGCCCACGTTGATGATGGCATGGAGTTTGCGGGCGCTGGACAGCAAGGTGTCGCCGTGGGCGGAGCCGAGCTCGGGGGCGCGCCGGGCCCTCTTGTAGAAGGCCCCCTTTTGGGCCTCCTCCTCGTGTAGGGGAGGCGGATTGAAGGAGGAGTCGGAGCCACAGCTCAGGGCACTGTAGTCATAGTCGGAGCCATCACCCGCTAACAGGGTCATGTTTGCTGGCCCACTCACATGCCTGTGATCAGCCCGCCACCATCACGCGGCCACCTGCAGAAGGGAAGCAGGACATTTCTGTTAACAAAGCTTCGCTTCATCCAAATGTCTTAAAACCCTTCAGTGTGGTACGTAGGGATTGTTAAAAGGGACAGTTAATCGTTTTTTTACATTGCTTTTCTACAATGTCAGAGAAATCAATTGACCGCAAAGTGGGATTTAAATACCACAATCTATACAAGTATTCTCTGTAGCTCTTTGAAGGCTCTAGCAGTCGTCTTCTTGGCAGTAACACCACAGCTTACAAAGGCGAGTATCTTTATCGCCTCTATAACTTAACATGGGGACTTCACATGTCATTTGTTTGTACCAGACTGTAAACATTTTTGCTATATAGTTGTGCGTGAACGTGGTTGTCGAATTTCTTTGCTGTTGCAGCCGGATTCAATTTGGCATATTAACGCATCTGAGGTTGCCAGGTCCTGATTGTCGCATTCACATGAGAGGTGTACTGAACTTCTTATGTTCCTCTTGGAATTAAGTATTCCCAAAATGTTAAATTTACGGAAAAAAAATTAAATTCAAATTCCATACTAACAACATTTGTCCACAAATTGAATTACAAAACCAACACGTCTGTGCCTTTATCTCAGCGGTATGAATATATCAGCCATGTATCATTAAACACGATCACTGATCTTGATACATTAGGCATCGAGGGATAACAACTTCACTCCCAACTGTGTGCATGAACATCTGTTACCCACAGCCAGGGAATTACACATAATAGCCTGATGCTATGCTGCCTTATCTCAGATAATTCCCTGATGTAACTCCTTCGTGCAGCGACTGAATACGGCGATGATTCCACAGTTTGTTTTCGGCATTGACAGGTTTTCTGAGCAAAACCCAGATGTATAAATCAACGCAGAGAGACAAAGAGCGATAGATCTAAAAGAGGAGAGAGAATGAAAGAGAAGATGCTGATTGTATGTCACCGGTGCAAAGGGTACCTCGTGGCCTGTATCCAAACTAATTTAATCAATTACAGTAATTTAGGGGGAGGCAAGTTAGCCAGTCAGGAATTAAAATGTCTGTGCCGGGATTTGCTGCACCGCCAATTGTGGGTCAGGAAGAAGACCTCAGTTTCTAAAAACAGGGATGCGAATGTGTCACTGAATAGTTATTAGGCACCTGCACTGTCAGCCTCTGTGAGTCCCTGATTATAGTCGGCACCACATCCCACCCATGAAATTACAGCAAACTCTGCAACACTCTGCTCGGTTGTACCATTCTTCTCAATGGTATTTCATTTTGGACATTTTTTGATAGCTCTCATGTGGAACTTTGACTAGTGCTAATGTCCATCAATGTCCTTAAGAGTGCCGGTGAATAAAAGGGTAAAACTGAATAAATAATCATAATTTCAGAACAGAATGGAAAAAAACTCCTTTTTGTTCCTACAAATGAAGGCAGTTCTCACATTCTCCTTCCATGTGGCGGGGTTATCGGTACGCCTACAATACACCACCAGTGGACGTGCACAGGCCTCCGCCACTCTCCTAGATTAAATCACACTTAACCCCTTGAGGCTGTTTGATTTCTCCCTCTGCCTTTGTGCAGAGGCAAAAGCACAGTCGATTCAGTCACCCGAGCGTTCTCTAAAAAAACAAACCCTTTTCTCCTTCAGATGTCTCCTCCTGGGGGACGGAGTCTATCTCGGAAGCAGAGATGAAACACTTTGCAAAGAGAGCGAAGCTGTTCCCCCCCCCCCCCCCCCCCCACCAGATCGGCTGAGGTCTGGCCTTTCTCTGTGCCAGCGTTATCACAGCTAAGCCACAGGGCATGTTCTCCAGATTGCCTGGGTGAGTCACTGGGTTGTGAGTCTCTGGTGCCTGACTGCATCGGGCATGCATTACCCACGGTGCCCTCCTCCTCCAGAGTTTCACTACCGTCAACACCAACGGAGGTAGTTATGATGGCCGTAATGACGGTAAGTATGAGTGCGAGGTCAAAGCAGAGCCAATCTTCAAAGACTTCTGAAGCCTATTAGACGGGGAAGTGCAGTCGGCTGAGAAGCGTATGCGAGACATTCCTGTTCATCGCGGTCCTCCCAATTGATGAAAGGTTTATAAAATGAGCGTGTGAGTCAGTCATTGAGGATTGCTATTTATGGCTCCATATCTACATATTGGTAGTGTGGTGCAATTTGTAAAGAGTTAAGAGATTGGACAGATTTTTTCCAATCTGTCTCTGGGAGGAAGATACACAACTCAATGTGTGTCTGTGAGACACAAACACATGGTAATTAAATGGGTGATCAGGAATTCTGATGAAAATCTGAATCGCGTTGACTTTCAGTAACAGCTGTTCAGTGCAGTGCGGTCTTATTTCTATTCTTATTGGCGTGGTAATAGTTATTGTAAGATGTTTCAGAAATGACATATTTCATCCTGTGTGCTCTTTCTCTCGGGCTAAATGACCATTAAGATCCCCCCCCCCCCCTGCTACAACCCATACTCCTATCTCATTAACAGCTCCCTGCTCTCTAATGGACCTTAAGAGGGTGGCTTTACAGAAATGGATTTGAAACCACCAAGACCAAACTTTCTTTCTCTTTCCCCCTGAGGAATGTGGTTAAGCACTGAAACAGTCAAGCGGGGCAGAAGCATTTCCACCCCAGGAGCCTTCCAGCTTACAGTAAGTCCAGCAGGAATAGTTGTAAACATGAAGTGTCTCTTTTTTGTTGTAAGTGGGCGGCATTAATGCCCACTGAAAACACTGGAAGGAGCTGTAGCTCCAGGGCAATGCGTGTCTCCCCGACGCTGGATGTGGTCCACTAGAATATGTTGGTCGCAGAGAAGTATGCCGTGGATACAATGCACTTCAATAATGAGCTGTTTAGCAGTAAGGATTGTTTATTTTGTGCATCATTAACTTATCGCTCGGCCAACCGCTCTTTTTTTCTTCTTTTTTTTTTTGCAAAAGCTGCCTGATTATATTTTAAAGGCTGAGAGAAAGAGAGTGACCTTTCGAAATCACTCTCAGGTACCTTTTTCCATCTCCATCTTTCGCAGCCCCTCCCCTGTCTGTCCGTCTTCATAAAGCACTCTATCCTCCAGACGGGGTCTGAGCCGACAAACCAAATCCCCACATTTCTGCATCAGCGCTCCAGATCATGCCTCAATACTCCTTTTTACCCCTAACAAACCGGGACATAAAATGTCTAACCGACCCGCAACAAAGCACTTCAGCTTTACACCTATACGTACATACGCTGGGGATGAATATACGTGCAACACACGCAGGTGCTCAACGAACTTCATTGAGTACAGATTGCATAACAACACATTTTTGAAGGTACAAGCGATGACAGAAAAAAGGTGACGGAAAGCTTTTGGAACCTGCACACTGAGTGAAAGAAGACTTGATGTTGATGGATTAGATACAGCACACAAACAACCACACTGGGCTTTTCTTGCTGACTGGGTTGACGAATGCGAAGGGAGTCTACCTGAATAACATCGTCGTGCTATGGGCAGTACCGTAAACAGTTCAGCTCATATGAATAAAAGGTGAAAGTGAGTATTGGTCCTCGTGGGGCGGATAGGTCCGTTGCTCAGTTTGGACGGACTATAAGAGAGGAACGTGTCATTAAAACACACACACACACAGTCTGCAATGGAGGAAAAAAGTGTATCCAACTTTCACTTTCATCCAGCACTCAGTCTGTGTTAAGTCTGAGCCTTGACTGAAGACCTCTTTGTGTACCCACCTAGTGCCCTCTGGGAAATAGTGCTACTGGCAGGACCGCAACTCTTCGATCCGCTCTAATAAAACTTGAGGACATGCGTCCCAGATACCTTACACATAACCTGGGAATAGCCCATTGTAATGAATTTGTGGGCCCTTTCTTTGTGGAGGGGGGGGAGGGGGGGGGGGGTGAATCAGACTATTAGCTGTTAGAACAGGAAAAAGTCATTAGTTCATCTCATTATGGTCCTAATTACCTGGAGGAGGGAGAGAGGATGAGCTATTGCGTGTCATATATCACTGATCCAGAGTCTAAGGGAGGCATTTGCTTTGTGGACTCATAATCACATTACGGCGCATAATCTAGAATCCTCAAAATGAGACCATGTGCTGTTTGGAAAAAGATCTCTCCCTCTAACATAACATCAGCCGTGAGTCACTATTCGGAGGAGTTGAAGTGGCTCTCAGATTCAAAAGTTTCTCTAACATCAATTCTCATTTTCTAATTTTAAGTTTTTATATTGTTTTATTTTATGAATGTTAAATGCTTCTGTAAAATTATATAAAGTACACTAGATAAAGTGTCAGTCTGGACCTTTTCCCTCATGAAATATCCGTAATTCCTGACTGCTAATAACATGCTTTAATGCATCTCCAGCCCTGTTACCATGGTGTAGTGCAGGGTATCCAGAGTGCAAATCATTCTCATTTGTTAACGACATCTTGTAGATCAAATATTGCTCTTTTGATTAAAAGCAGAATGATCATTAATCATTTGTTCAATATTAAAGAATTTTACAATCAAAAATGAACGTCTTCTAAAAAGGGTTGCAGTATACAATTCACAAATCTGTTTCGTTTTTGTAAATTAAGAAGAGTACCATGATATCTACAATTCCGCATCTCTAATTAAATACAGTATCCCCAAAATGTCTTGATATCAACCTAAATCAGCTGCAAAAATATCAGTCCGCCCTGCTATTCCCAACTTCTCTCCCTGTGACAAAAACACCTCGCTGCAAGTGAAAAAAAAAAAAAAAAAAGTGTGACTTTCAACAACAATGCCATAATGCACCACTAACGCCAAGTTTGACTACAGGAATATGGTGAAATAGGACTGAAAATACTCACTGTGCTCAAGGACCAGATCCTAAGCAGCTGTCAGTTTGCTGAAAGCGCTGAGAAGAATGCACATGGAAGGAAAACATGGAATATTTTCATCCTCAGCTCTGCTCCCCGTTTACTTCTACTCCATCAATGCACGTCAGGCACTGTGGTCTTGTGGAATACAATCGTGGTTGTCTGATGATCATGAGCAACAGGCTGCCCCCCCCCCCCCCCAGCACACTCCCCCACCCTCCCTGCCTCCTCATTCCCTTATTCCCTCTTTCCCTTCCCTTTGCCCTCGTCTCTCCCTCTCTCGCTCAACTCCTTGCCCGAGCGCTGACATCAGTGGTGGGCGTGCCCGTTACACCAAAAGCTTTTGAAAAAAAAAAAATCCATGGCAACCACCATCCAGAGAGCCGTGCTTTCCCTCCACCTTTAAATGAGAATATCATGAGGGTTTTTTAATGCTTTTTTCCTCGCAAAAGGTTTTTTTTTATATTCGTCCGATTGGTAAACAGACTGAGGTGGAGGGAGGGAGAGAGGAGGGAGAAGAGGAGGGGAGAGCCGCTGTACGCTGGCTTAGACTCACCAGGGTGTCCAATTTTAGACAAGTGGTGGGAAACGCTATCATGAGGTATGGAGATAAGGAGGCGTGGATTGCTCATGCAGGGGATGTTCGTAGCAAACGCTCCCTTTACTTTCTGCTGCCGCTTCCTATCATTTGTCCCCAATGGCCATTGAAGTGATGTCTTGTCGTTAGATGATATGACAGTCGACAGGGTTTACATTCAAAGATGGAGGTGGGCATCCTGGTCAAAGTGGTGCAATTTAAAAGAGAAAGCATTATGAGATACTTGTGCTCGACGACGCGTTCGGGTTTCAGTGTACGTGGCACGTCTGCGTTTTGTCCACTGAGCCGTACATCAAAACTGTGTTTGGGTTCAACATACCTTTATTGAGCCGCCCGTCTCGGATGAAAACTGCATGAGTAAACAAACAGAACCGGTGTATCTCACGGTTCCCTTCATTGCGGTTATTATTGCTGTTATGTAATGGGTAAGTGAGGAAAACTACATTTTCATCCTAAAGGAAAGGAGGCCTTGGATTTATTTGAGCAATTATGTTTCCAGAGCAGAGCTGTTTTCTAGCTGGGTGACTAAAAGGCCAGTGAAGGTATTGACACAGATCAAGAATGAGAAGAAAACATCGCTGCAGCACAAAACAAGTTAAATTATGTTTTTTACCAATTATTTTGAACCAGTTTTAGCAAAGAAAACCATGAAGATGTTCTTAATGACTTGTGAGTCCATTTAAGATGGGACTCATATAAAGAATCTTCCAAATTGATGGATTGACTAATGAGGCTAAAAATATGTGCGCAGCTTTTGGTAGCAAGATATGTCTTTTTTATTTTTTTTAGATTAAAGATGGCTCGTTGTTCATGACTACGTCTGGATACGTGCTCATTTTGGCTCCTGAGTGGGCAGCTTATTGGTGTTAACTGAGGCTGATTTAGACTGCGGGTCTAAATGTATTCTCAAATCAAATCAGCAACACGGCCACCTTTGCTCAATTTGCTATTCATAACCATCAATCACAGGGCATCATGATTCAGGCACGCTGCGTTTCCTAAGAATCAGTCTTAACCTGAAATAGAAAGTCCTCAAAAAAAATGAAAAGAAGCACTGTGAGTTTTGTGAAGCTGTTTCAGCACCAGCAGTGATTGCACCTACAGGTGAATTCCTGCCGATTGTTGATTGCTAATTAGGCTATTAAAGCAATTTATAACACATTCTGTTCTGAGGATTGAGGTTTCTTTTTCTCCAACAGTTTTCTCAGAGGTGAATTGCTGTCTTTCCACCTACTATTTAAAGAGGTCAAATCTTCTCTGAACCTCCGGCTTGTGGAGTAGCTTCTTGACTAAATGATCAAATACAATTTTCTAGGCAGCTTTTATCTCTTAAAACCTCGGAGAAGAAAAGTCATTCACGCGTCCTCCTGACGGTGTTGAAGTTGCTTTGCACAAGCTTCCGAATGAAGAAGGCAGATGTGGCTCAGCTCTTTATAAAAGCTTGTGGTTTGCAAAGCAGTTGATAATCATTTGTGTGTCCAAATGTCTGAGTTCTCATAGGACCGTTTGCATGTTTGCCAGTACTACAACTATGAAGAGAAAACAAGGTAAAGAGTTTGAGGGGAGTGTTCTTTGAATACATTTTAAGCTCTTGCTCAATGCATACTGGACTGGTTATGCATCAGCCCTGATGACATTAATTTAAAAAATAATCGATAATAAATCCACTGCAAAGGTTAGACAGAAACCGTGTAGTTAATGACAATCACTTCCATTGTCGCCTCGTCTTAACTAAAGTTTCAACCGAATAAACATCTTCCAGGAATTGCTGCGAGGGGTTTTCACATTGACATTCAGCATGCACTAGCCTGGCCCTGATGAATTAAGAAACCAAATGAGTGTAGAAGGGAAAAATTGGACAGATCATCCAATTTCCTCATTAGCTGAGCTGCTGCGTATGTTGTGCTGTGCCTGCAGCACAGCGGTCGATACACCAGTAACCAAGTATAATGTCTTACCTGCAGGAGCACAGCGGCTTTGCATCTATGATGTGTGAGTTTCAACGATGGAGGAAGGGTTCAGATGCCGTCTCCAAGGGGATACGTCATGCTTCGCCAAACACCAGTCTTGGTTAAAATGTTGACTTTTGAAAAGGGGTTTCAGGACGTTTGTTTGGTTCAAGCCAAACAGTAAACCCGATTGAGTGAACTTATTTGCTTTACACCACCGGTGGTTTTCAGATAATTCACTTTTTATGAAATAGAACAAAAAAACGTTGCAGCACTTGCAGCGTCTGTAAAAAAAATCCAAACCAAAATCAGGTTCAGGTGCCAAAGAAGCACAGCTGCATTTGTTTGACTGAGATCAGTAATAATCTGAGCTTTACCTTGCAAACTCAACTACGTTGATCTGGCAGTGCAAGTGTACATATTATAACTTCTTTGTGTGCGAGTGTGAGCTGAAGATAACCTTGCGTGTGCTGGAATCAAATAAGAGAAGAAGAAGTAGACACATTGAACACATTGTATGACAGTGTGGAAACGCGTGGGAGGGATCTGTGACCTCAGCCTATTTCTGACGGCTGCCAAGCCGCCTTGTTGGTTCAAACAGCACCCTCTTCATGCTAATCACATATACGTCTACCATTAAGAACTGTATGTCGAGTACAAAGATGTGTGTTTGTGCTCGTTAAATTGTCCACCTGGACGTTTTCAAAATTCTGTTTTCCAGTAGTAGGCTAGGGATCTATTTCAAACCCAGATTTTTGGCATGTAAATCAGTCCATCTGTTGGATGAGCCAGTTTGGTTAGTTCCTAATATATATATATATATATATATATATATATATAATATATATATATATATATATATATATATATGACTGCAGTGAGCACGTTTAAGAGCAGGTTTGAAGCCTGTTTGATCAGTAAAGCTGTGTGTGGATGGAAGCCAAGATCTATATTTTGTAAAAGTCATGGCAGAGCCTCCGTTCACACACAAACCACAGTTCTTATGCGTTCTGTTTACCTCGGGTATCAGAAGTCGGAGACGGCGTCCTTCAAGTAAGGAAGTTGCATGACAAACCGGTCAACGTTTGGACATTGGAGACATTATCTAGTTTATTTAGTAAAGTATTCAGAAAGAATCATGCTCTAAACTAGTTTGTCTTTGCCATTTTATATTCATTTCTGAAAGCATGTCTTTCTTTTAAAGCCCTTTCGACATGACGGGATAATAAATATAAATATACAGAGCACTGAGAGCAGACCAATTGAAATGATTTTACTGTTTCACATAAAAGAAAGTAGAAACAACCGTTGGCATGGTAATATCAGTATGGGGTATCACACGTTGATGTCAGGAGTTCACATGGCTTGATACCAAAAATAGCACACGGTCTGAGCCCAGCACACGGTTTTGTCAGGATGAAGACGCTGCGACTGCAGAAATAATGATTTATTAGTTCGCTTGTTGCGTTTGAACAAACGTCTCCCTGCTGCTTCCTCTCCAGACACGGTTTATTCAGCCGGACCATGACTTCATCCTTCCTTCCCTCAGCAGGCTGATCTTAGTGCTTAGACTGCTGTCAAAGCACATTAGCAGGCTGATACGTGGACTGACAGACATATTGCTCCCAGAGAATTGTTCTTGAATTGCTGCTGTACCATGAGAACATATTTTGAAGGACAAAACTGCGGCTGGAACAACCGTGAGATGATGCAATGGTTTCTTTCTACTTGATCGAAGCCTATTTCTAGTACCTAATGCCTAAGCTCAGGCCACTTCGGACATCAAAAAACAGCAACAGCGCAGGTGGAAGCATTGCATTAACGATGGCTGTGTTCCATTAAGTATCCTCGGAGGGTCTCCGCTGTGAGCCGGCATTTTAAATTCTAAACCCGGCGACCGGCTTGGGTCAACGAAATATAGACAGCAAAAAAGGTCTATTAAATATCGGCATTTTAAAAAACACTTTAGTGCAGTAACAATATTAAAGGACACATTTTGACAAATGATCAAATTAGTTTTACACAGTATGAGATTGAGCTTTGAATTATATTAATTCTGGTACATGAGCATGGAACGTCACCATGGGGGCGGTCATGTAGACAATTTGACTTGTCACAGCAGAAGAAGCCCATTGTTAATTCAATGATATGAATCAAGCATGCACAGCAAAAAAGATTATTAACGTTATTAATCACATCGTCTTGTGGTGTCAGTTTTACTTTGAAACTCTAAGAATGTTCAGTTTTATTATGAGAGGATTGTAACATATACAACAACTTCTATTTTTTGCCGCATTTTGAAACATGCGCTCGTCTACCCAAACGAGTTTGTCGCGTCATAGCGTTTGTTGCTACTTGCAACGCTACGAAAAGGGCTCATTTCCAGTGGAAATGAGCCCTTTTCCTCACTATTAATTATTGTCTGCTTCTTGTCCTGCTTCCAGTCTGGACGACTGTAAACAATTGAGTTATCTTTAACTGATAATAGTAATTCAATGTTCTCTACTGGGCCCTGACCATTTTTGGACTGAGACGTTTAGGGCAATAAATATTACAACGCGGGGCAAACTAAAGTTCAAGAATGAAATCCTCCCCAGTTGAGGAATACAGACATGTAATAGTTACTGTTTTGCTCCTGGCT